CAAGACCAGAGGCAGCTGAGAGCTTCGCTACCCCAACAAAGGCAAATCCAATAAGAGGTAGAGATACTCCTTAACGAACAATTGTGTGATTTCCAACGCAACAAAGTGGCCGATGAAGCATTACGGCGGGATATGACCAATATAAGCAAGTCACCCTTCATAGACGGGATTGAGCAAGCAAAGCCTTCACGTAAGTTTAGCATGCCACACTTTACATCTTTCAAAGGAGATGGAGATCCAGAGAGGCACTTGAAGCACTATCGAAGCACGATGGTCCTTTATTGGAGCAACGATGCCCTTATGCGCAAAATCTTCACCATTACTTTACGAGGCGAGGGGCAAAATTGGTTTCACACCTTGCCACCACGATCCATCGGGAGTTTTGATGATCTTTCCTTGGTTTCACCAAAGAAGACTCACCCTACCACTCGATCAAGAAAAAGGCGAAGATCGTCGGATGCGAACATCTCCATCTCCTTTATAAAAGTAGAACCTTGATGAGTACCCTATGTGACCTGGAGGTCCGGGACATGCATACAAAGAAACCCAAGTCACTTTGCAATCTCAACCAAATCACAGAGAGAGAGAAAGAGAAAGAGAGAGAGAGCAAAATTAACAAATCCCCAACACTATAATTAAAACTCTTTCAAAGGAAACTTAATTGGAATAGTCTGGATTAATATTTGTCTAAATTTTTTTAAATACTTGGTGCCTCAGATTTGTAATTTATTGGGCGCCATTACTTACCGCTCTAGATTTGGGAAGGAATCCATTCCAGCATACCTACCAAAAATTGTTTCACTCAATAAAAAAGATTAGGTAACCCAAATGTTGTTCAAATGCATATATAAGTTTATAACTTACAAAATAAAACATTATAACAATAAGAAAAAGTGCTGATACATTTCCTACAAGACACTTAAAGGTGGGCATATAACACTTATTTAAGTTATTAAATCACTTAACCTGTATATATTTGTCACTGCACTTAGAAATATAGGTGGTAATCTAACGAATAGCATGATCGACTTGCAAAGGACATAAATGGATTCATAAAAGTTATTTGCTGCCCAGGTTATTTGGATCTTTGGACCATTTTTACCATATTAGTGTACCTAACCGTACACGAAGAGACCATTCCTTAAAAAATAATGAAAACTAAAATACTCAATCCCATTTAAAAAGCAAAGCACATAGACTTTAGCGAAACAAGAACTTCAACGAAAATTTCAAACAAAAGTTCGTCACAACAAAGAGAATACAGCACGCACCTAATTCCTCATATGAGCTAATAAAAGGGTTAGAAGTCAAGCAACCAAGTACCAACCTGTAATTGAAAATTAAAATTAAAAAAATGAATTAACCAAACATTCAGAAAGATCCAAATGTAGAAGCCCAAAACACATAAAAAAGAAAAAAAATATTGAAGTGTATTACAAACTATGAATTAGATAGTGAACCCAAAAACCAAATATAACCAATAAGCACAAGTTCCATCATTAGTAAAAACTGATCGATTCATTGATTTTCGTATGAGTGATACAAGTATTGGTATACACAAGTAACTGTAAACACGAAAAATTCCTGAAACAAGAAACAAGAATACGTGTACAAAATATATTTTTTGTGTTTAATGATTTTGGGGTTACAATCTCTTTGTAATTTGATCCTCTGATTCTATCTTCGTAGGGTGTAGGTTTGTGGATGAGCTGTTGATCCAAAGGGCCGTCGGGGCTTGATCTAGGGATGAACAGTTGATGAACGGATCTTCAAGGGGCGTTGGGCTTGATCTTGAAGAACGGGTGTATGAGTTTGTTGAGGTTGTTGATCCAAAGGGTCGTTGGGGCTTGATCTTAGAATGAACGGATGATGAACGATGAACACTTTCTTCAAGGGCCGTCGGGGCTTGATCTTGAATAATGGTTGTGTGGATTTCTTCAAGTGTGTGGATTTCTTCAAGGGCTTTTGGGCTTGATCTTGAATGAACGGATGATGAACGATGAACACTTTCTTCAAAGGCCGTCGGGGCTTGATCTTGAATAATGGTTGTGTGGATTTCTTCAAGGGCTTTTGGGCTTGATCTTGAATGAACGGATGATGAACGATGAACACTTTCTTCAAGGGCCGTCGGGGCTTGATCTTGAATAATGGTTGTGTGGATTTCTTCAAGGGCTTTTGGGCTTGATCTTGAAGGTTGATGGATGAACGGATCTTCAAGGCTTTTGGGCTTAATCTTGAAGAACGATTGAATGTGTGAATTTGTTGAGGTTGTTGATCCAAAGGGCCGTTGGGGCTTGATCTTAGGATGAACGGATGATGAACGATGAACACTTTCTTCAAGGGGCTGTCGGGGCTTGGTCTTGAGTCGGTGGAAGTTCTTCAAGGGCCGTTGGGGCTTGACCTTGAGTCGGTGGAAGTTCTTCAAAGGGCCGTTGGGGCTTGACCTTGAAGGAGGATTTGACGAAGAACGAAGAGTGCTTTCTTGATCCTTCGGGATTTGCTTGAGAGCTTTAGAGTGTCAAAGCTTCAAGGTTTTGGTGTGATGTAAATTCCTTTCTTTCTCCTTCTTCTCCTTTCTTTCCTTTTCCTCCTTCCTTCCTCCAAAATGAATGCCTTGGCTTCCTATTTATAGAATTCCAAAACTTGATTTTTGGATTTAAATAATCAGATGAAATAAATCATTTCTGCCAGGTATTGACATGTGTCCTATTTGATGACTTTTCCAATTTATTTCGATTTTTTGTTGAGTCACACGCTACATGTAAAATTTATGTGATACGTGAGCGTTGAAATTTTAATTATTGGTCAACATTCATTTCACCGAAATTTTGATGTCCACAGTAACATGAGGAGATAAGCCTCCAGGACGTGTAGGATTAGAAAGTAGAGCAACTAAAAGATAAACATTACAATTGAGAGCATTAATATGTAATATCCAATAAACAGTAGCTTATGTTTTTAATTTTTAAAACTACTCGAGTACAGAGCACTCATTGCTCTGGATTCAAAGAGAATCTCACATAATAAAATCGCTTCTCCATAACACATAAATGATAGCTCTTGGAATTGATTGTAGAGTATAAGGTGGTAGCTTAAACAATTATGTATGGTTCAATTTCATAGCATCTACAAAGCCCAAAAATACTAAAACTTCTTTTCTTATTAATTTGTATAGGCAACAAGCCAGAAAGATTTACCTTTAAACAACCAGAAATACAGAAGCATTCCAGAAAAATAATTTCATCCTACAAATTCACAACAAAAAGAAAAATACTGAAAAATAAAAAGCAAATAGAAAACTGATTAAAAAAATCCTCCATATGTACTAATAAATCAAGTTAAAAAATCCCCAATCACAAAATAATAAAGCCAGGCACAAATACATATAGATTTAGAAAAAAATCAAACCCAAATTTACCCAAATTGGAGGTTGTGGAGTGCGAATGTGCAGGTAGAGGGGCTGCTGGAGGAAAGTACCTGTAAATTCAAAACCAAATTTATATAAAAATAAAATAAAATTTTGAAAGAAAAAAAAATCAACCTTAGAACATTAGGAGAAAAACGGCGGTCTCATATGTCTGGGAGTGGAAGATTTAGGTGTCGATATGAGTTTTGGCGGAATGGATCTCCTGGGTTCTTGAATTTTCGGTGGTGGACAGCAAGCGACATGGAGATGAGCCCATGGACCGCGACAAAGCGATGGAGAGAGGGGTTTGTTTTCTGGGTAAATAAATGTGGGTATGACATGCCTGTTGGGTCACGATGGTGTGAAAGAAACGAGCAATCTGAAAGGCAGAGAGAAAGAAAGGGGAAAGTGAAGTGGGATGGTCTAGAATTTCACTTGTTTGATATTTCATTCTAGCGCTATAATTTCCCACTGTCCATTTTTTGTTAGGTGTGGAGTGGGAAAGTTTGGGCGCGAAGTTTGAAATCATTATTTACAATGTATGATTCGTGCCATAAAAGGTAGGGACCTAAAGATATATAAAATTCACTTTACGACATAACGCGATGCCTTAAAAGAGAAGGAAAGTACGTCGTGTAAATTGTTAAATACGACACACAATGTTTACGCCGTAAATATTTTTATTTAACGACTTGCACAAAAGTGATGCTGTGAATGCTAGATTATGTGCAAGTATTACGACATGAACTTTACGAATGTTGTGAATAATATCATTTAAGACATGCTAGTACTATACGCCATAAATTTCAAGTCGTAAAACACCAAAACTGTTGTAGTGCAACGTCAAACGAAAACGTACTAACCCTGAAGTAAAATGTACCCAATTATAAACTATATTAAAGTGAATATTCATCTTTTTGGAAATGTTTAAAAATATGTTTGATTCATACACAATGCTCTAGATAGTCTTGTTTTTTTGGTAGATAAGTCTCTGGAGCAACTTTTAATTGATCGGAGATAAATCTTTATTATTGTAGATAATGCTAAATAAAAAGAATAAATCATATAATTTTGAATTAACAAAAAGGCTATTGTCCGTTGATTAATGACTCTTCATATAAAAAAAAAATTTAATTAACGTAATTTAAACTTTTACATTGTTAACGACTCTTTCTATAAAAAAAAAAAAATTTAATTAATTAAAGTAATTCCTTATTATTAGGACAAAAAGTAATAAAACTTATGTTTTGAAAACAAACGTAGCAAAAATTCAAATGTACCAAGTAACTAAATATACCATTATAATTAAACGTACCTAACAACGAGTTTTGTTGCATTCTATTTAATTTACTAAAAATAATATTTAATAAAAAATAAAAAATCTTAAATCATCATAATAAGAGATACATAAAAATAGGAAGAAAAAAAAAAGAAATGCTAACGTGAATAGACTTCTAATGAAATAAAATGAGAAAAAATTAAAGTACCAAAATGGTAGGGAAAATATTTAATCAAATTTACCAAAAAAATAGATATTTAGTTTATAACATTTAAAAACAAGGCGTTTATATAAAAACATCATTTTTTTATTACTATATTCACCAACCGCTTTTTGCCGCGCGTTTCCGTATCTTCCCCAATTCTTCACCTAATTTTCCCGCTACTTCTTCTACCACCATAACTCGAAGCTGGAAATATTCTCGGAAGTGACAGTGAGGCGGAAGTTTCTCCCTTTCCAATTCAATGAACTCCCGCGAGCTCGCCCTGGTCTCCACCGCGGCCGTTTTCGGTGCCCTGGCCTCTGCGCTCACTTGCCGTTTCTTCTTTTCAAACCCTAAGAGGCAGTCCCCCAAACTCGATTTGTCGAAAAACGGCGTCGTTTCCAGGAAATGCTCTTCTCAGAGCCCTTTCGACCCCTCAAAGCGCGAAGGGTTAGTGTCCAAAATTCCATCTTTTCATAAAGCCCTTTGATTTTGGTCATACTTTTCTATTGCAGTAATAAATATATGAGTAATTAGTTACAAATTTTACAAAAATGGATAATTTCACTCATATTATTATTGGGTTTTTAATTTTTAATTGTGTTTTTTGTTTTGATTGCAGATATTTATCATGGGATGATTATTTCATGGCAATTGCATTTTTATCAGCTGAAAGATCCAAAGATCCTAACAGGCAGGTCATATTTCTCTGCTTTTTTTATGTATGCATGCTGATGAATTTGTGATTAAATGAGGAGGAATTAATTTTTTGAGAATTAGCAATGAGAGTGTTGCAAATTTCTTCGATTTGTGGTCTGATAAGAACTTGGTGAGTTAGACAATATATTGATTGGTCGTTGGTGCTATGTTTTGTATTTGTGGTGTACAGGTTGGAGCATGCTTGGTGAGTGAAAATGGTGTAATTCTAGGTATGGGATTTGTTGACGTGAACTCTACATCCAAATAAAGCCGAATTATAAACTATATCGTAGTATATTGTTCAGTGATTGTATGGCTCTTATTGTCCATTGATTATTATTTTTATGATCATTGAACTTTTGCGAATGTAGTTTCCTTTGACTTCCAGCCAATTTCTCTCTTTTCAGGAATTGGATATAATGGGTTCCCGAGAGGTTGTTCGGATGACAAGCTTCCTTGGGCAAAGGTTTGTCTACACTATTTGATGAAATTGTACAAAGAAAAAAGAATGATTATATGATGCTATGGTCAGTACTCAGTAGTAATTGGTAAAGCTGTCCTTTCTTGTTCAGAAATCCAAAACTGGGGATCCTTTGGAGACAAAGTATCCGTAAGTGTTTCTGCTTTCTTAAATTAATTTTCTAACTCGTGGTCTGCTGTTTACTCTGAACTTATTCTGAAGTTGGAATCTAATATCTGTTTTCTTTCCATTGCACCAGTCAAATTTATCATCCCACCGCTATCACATCATATCCAATGCTTGTGCTTTCATTGTATACTGGTTTCAAATCTCTGGTTATTTCTCTTAGTATTTCTGATTTCGTTTTGCAGTTATGTTTGTCATGCTGAAGTCAATGCTATCCTAAACACGAATCATGCTTCTGCTGCAGGACAGGTTACTTCTGGTTACACTTACCCATTCCCATTAACTACGAATATATCATCTCCATCTGCTGACCTAGTATTATAATGTGGATTCGAACTAAAATGTTGTCCTCAACCAACTTGACGAAATGATGACCCTGAGGGACTTTTACGTGGATATGTTTGGTAGAAACTCAAGTTCTAAAATGTACTTAAGTTTAAATGATGGTTTACTATATTTCCTTCATTCCATTTTGTGGTTATTCTGTTTCGTTGCCCTCTGTGACTGAAAGTACTGTTTGAATGCTTATTCTCTATTTCTTTGCAGAGGCTTTATGTGACCATGTTCCCCTGCAATGAGTGTGCCAAGATAATTATTCAGGTTCTTCCTTTGCTTCTTTGTGCTTGTATTTTAGGGTATATCTGAAATAACCATGCTTATGTCATTCCCATCTCCCGCCTTCCCCTCCCTTCCTAGTCCCTCTCCAACCCGCTAAAACTCTAGTAATGAGCATGTAAAGAGATGGTAATCTATTCTTATTGCCTTGAAATTTCAAGAACCTGAGTATTTGCACGTTCTATGTGGTACGTTGCCAGTGTCTAACCAGTTTGTTTTTCCTGCCAATTGCTTCTTATTTGCAGTCAGGAGTCACGGAAGTTATATATTTTGTGGAAAAGAGGTTAAACAATCCAGATGTTGCCTACATTGCTTCCCATAAACTACTATCATTGGCCGGTGTGAAAGTATGTCTCATTCACTTCTTGAACTGTTCTATTAAATTCATTTTGATTTTGCATATGCTTTTGAAATTAGAACATTAGGCTTTCAATCTCTTCAGCTTGACGTTTCCTTGTTTTGATGAGCGGTCCCTAATAGTCTCGCTAATTTTTCCCTTTAAAACGCTAATGTGTGTACGAGGTTGCTTGTGTGAACCTCCAAAGTGTTATCCAATTGAGTCAACCTGCAAATCCTTTATCCATAACACAGGAGCCGAAAACTTAACTGATATCTGTGTTTTTACGTCTCAATTGCAGGTCAGGAAACATCACCCATACCTGAACCAACTTTTAGTCAAGTTTGAGGAGCCCTAGATTTCGTATCGTTCGTTACCATAAACCGGTAAACGGACCTTCATGCTCGGTGAAAATGTGAATCATGAATCCCTCTCGTGTGTAAGCATCTAGTATTTGGTTGTTGTCTCTTGAATCATGAATCACTTGTAGGTACAATGTTTTATTTTCAATTCTGCACTCTGGTCTGTTGTTGAACTATGAAATAGAAGATACCGAATCATATGAACTCACGAGACGTTAACAACCTATTGTGATTGTATGGAAGTGATTTTTCATCTTCCGATTTCAATATTTCTGCCCGAAAAAGTTTGGAAGATATGGAAAACCATGTATCAGAGTACCATTCGTGTCGTTTTAGGACGGATTAGAAGGGAATCAACAAGAAGATTATTATCTACAACACTAGAAGACCCCACTACATGTAATATGAAATGAGTTTGATAAGTCTCTATTTGTCGATGTCTATGGCCGAACCCCACTACATGTAACATTAAATGAGTTTGATAAGTCTCTATTTGTCGGTATTTATGATTGAATCCTGTTGCATGTAACACGAAATGAGTTTGATAAGTCTATTTATTGGTGTTTTTGACTGGCATCGTTACTCTTGTTGTTATCTTTGATGTACTACTCTTGATCATGTAGTTTATGATCAGTCCATTTTTCCCTTCTTTTTTTATTTTTTGTTGATCATGACATAATATTGTTGATCATGAGCAAATGTGTAAAATATAATAAGAAAAAAAAGAAGTTGACGGTTAGAACTCTTTCCCAAATTTGTTGACTGTAATGTGCATGGAAAGTTTGTTTCTCACGGTTTGGAATTATGCCACGTATTCAGTGAGCCTTATTCTTATTTATTTTATTGAGTAAAAGTAATCAAATTTCTGACAAAAAAAAAAAAGCAATAAAATTAATAAAATAAGGCTCATTAAATATGTAACGTAACTCCCAACTATTAGATTTTATTTAAAGGGTCTCGATTCAAAGAAGAAGAATGGAGAAGAGAGAATCTAAGTCTAAATTTTTTGGTGCACGTCAATCCGTCAGATCATTTTATCCGTGCAAATTTAGTTTTCAAGACCAAAAAATCAAGGAGGTGGATGGTCTCCCTTTTCATTTTCATATTTTTTTCATTTCTTCATGTGATGTGTGATCACGGTTAAGTCATGTTAATATTTTATGTTAATTTTTTATAAAAGTAATAAAATAAAAAGTAATAGGAATATAAAATGTTAACGTGGCTTAACCGTGACCACACAAACAAAAAGACATAAGAAGAGCATGGAAATGTGAGGACAAACAACCCACCTCCAAAAATCAAACCAAAACATCTGTCGGTCTAAATCTGTTTGTTTTGTGAGCACCCAGTTAAGTTTGACCAGTGCAATTGGAGTTGAAGAGTCACTGGATGCCTCTCTTCGGTTGGCTGGCCTACGATGAAAACGACATTGAAAAAACGAAAGCTTAATTTTGTCAACTAAACAGAAGTTCAAAGTATGATTCCTGGGAAGAGTATGGTTAATTTTGTTCAACCATTTCCAACTAATGAAACTTCACCACCTTGACATTTGATCTATTGTAGTATTACCAGGGTTGGCCGGTAAAACATGACTAAAAATCAGCAACCTATGACCATTTCGTTTTCATTTTTCACTTTTTGTTTTTACTTATAAAAAAAGGGAAAATAGTTTCAGATGAGAAAACACTTTGACATTTGATCTATTGTAGTAATTACCAGGGTTGGGCAGTAAAACATGACTAAAAATCAGTAACCAATGACCATTTCGTGATTCCATATGAACGGTGGTTTGTAAGATGTAACATCACATGATTCCATATGTGTCAAAAATTCTACTTTCTAGCATAATTTAACAAAAGTCACCGCAACTTAATCAAATCCTATTACGTCTAATTATACACCATGACAATAATATAACATAGAATAGAACAACTCCAACTCCATATTCCTTGCGTTTTGCATGCATGTTTTTGTGGGGTTTGTAATATGTAAGTACGAATTTGCCCCCCACACCCTACTAACTTAGGACGTGTTTACGTATCCATAATCGGAATGAAATTTGTGGAATTGAATTCCGATTATGGAGTATTCCAGTGTTTACTAAATATAAAGGAATAAAAAAGGCAGTGGGGCCCACACAAATTTTGGAATTCAATTCCTTGTATCGGTGGAATTGGATTCTCTACATATAGATGGTAATCCAATTCTTGATTGCTTGGACAATCGGAATGACATTTTTGTTCCCTTTATGCCTTCACTTGCTTTTTTTATTTCCAAGACTATCCTTGTAAGATCCCACATCGCCCAGGGGTGAGGATCATGTAAGCCTTATATGTATATTCTCATCTTTACCTAACGCAAGTCCTTTTAGGAGCTCACTTGCTTTTTTCTTACTATTATATATTATATCAAATTTTGTTAAAAAAAAGGTATATAAAATATTTGATTTGGGACAAGGGCATTTTAGTAATCATATTGGTTTATATTCCGATTCTGCTGAATTAGTAAACAGTTTTATGAAATTCTATTCCGATTCCAGAACATTTAAGTAATTAGCTTCAACAGGAATCTGATTCTAACTTCCCATTCCAACTTCTCCTCAATTCAATTCCTCCTACTTTCATTACGATTACGAAAACGCGCCATTAACCTATTATTATCAAGTCCAATATAGCCACTCAGTATTATAGTATGATAATATTCTTTTTCACTTGTAGGTAAAAAGTACAAGAGATCTTAAGTTCGAATTTCGTAGATAATGAATTCGATATCAAATTAGGTTGCCTATTGTATATCTTAGCCAAATTTCGCCCTCTCTCGAGTGTAAAATATAGCGTTGTGAAAAAAAAAAAAAAAAAAAGTAGTCCAATATAGAATACTATTTACGCTTTCTATATATGACGCAATATACATCTGTAATTTTAATTTTTAACCAACAAAAAAAAAACATATAAAATAAAAACGCATATTTTTCTTTTCCATTAAATATCAGTTCATTATCCAACGGCCATATTGTCACCTTCTTCACCCTCCACCGGTCCCCCCAACTCCTCCACTGCCTCACCGTCAACCGCCAGCCACCGTTCGATCGGCTTACACTTGACTTTGTGTCGCAGCTTCCAATCCAGCGCTTGGCACCCACGCGAGCAATAATTCACCGTTCCGCAAACCGAGCACCTCCTAAACTCGTGCGGCATCGTCTCGGGCCTCCCGCAGCCCACGTGCGAGCACATCTTCATTCCCTGCCCCGCCATCCACCGCCCCGACCCGAACCACTCCCTCATGAACCGGTTCGCAGGGTGGAGCTCCGGAGGTGGAACGTTGCACCCGAAGTCGCTCAGCAGTGGGCAGCTGACCAGCCCCGTCAGGCAGGCGTAGAAGTGCTGGTGGTGGTGGGACCGCCACGCCGCGGAGGAGCGTAGAACGGATGCGAGCTCCCGCGCGTTGGCCTGGACAAGCAAGCGGCGTCCCTCGGTGACGTTCTGCTTGACTCCATAACCGTCCTGGAGGCAATGGCCGAGCTCGCGAAGCGCGTCGACGTGGCCGAGGGAAGCGGCTCGCGCGCAGAGAGCCACGCCAGCTCGCAGGTCCTTATCTTTCTTGGAGTAGCCGCTGCCGTTAAACTGAATCACGGCGAGCGAGTACAGCGCAGGCGCGTGGGCTCTCATGGCGGCTTTCGCCATGAGCGACGCCCCGCTCCCTCGGTTTTGTAAACAGTAAAATCGGATCTGTAGCGAAAAAAGCGAAATTATTTTCCAAAAATAAAAGAAAATTACATTAATTAAAAAAACAGAAAATAAATAAGATAAAATTAAGCGACTGACCATTCCGAGAGTGTAGGAAGCTTCAATGTTACCGGCGGTGACGCACTGTTTGAGAAACCGGTGAGCCGAATCGGACCAGTTCTTGGCCCGGATTGCAAATGCTTTTGGACCGGCCTTTGATAACACCAGAGAGTGGAGTCCTAACCGGTTCAATCTCTTACAACTATATTTTATTTTATTTTCCAAAAATTAAAACGAGAAATTCATCAAGAGCAAGCTAGAAAAATAAGAAATCCGAGGTCACGGCGCTTACGTGATGAGGACGTTGATGAGATCGGACGGCGAGGAAGCAGAGGAGCTGAGCTTGCAGAGGACGAAGACAACGAGATCGTCGGGCAAGCCGTCAAAGAAATCCGACTTCGCGGCGGCGGGTGATCGGCGGGAGCTTCTGAGCTTTTTTCTTTGCAGCGTCGCCGCCTCCATGTTTAGCTTTTCTTCTTCTTCTTCTGCAGAATCTTCACATAATCCAAGCTCGATCTTTCTCTGTGCGTATGGAAACGGTGGTTGTTTGGATGTTTGTGGGTTTTATGAGGGTGGAGATAAAAGTCGAGAACGATGACGTCTGGACGGACTTATATACAAGGGGAAGGAGGGAGACCAAACGACAAGCCACTATGTGGGACCCGCGAGATTGATTTGAAGAGAATTAAATATTAATCCTTGATTAAGCTTTATATTTGCTTTAATTAATTTTTAGTGGGAAATAAAGAAGCCGGATTCTTGTTGGATTATTTTTGTGTAAATTCTAGAAATTCATGAATCGTCTGTTTATTGTATATCATGAGATCAGAAATTATTTTAAATATTTTTATTTAAAATTAAACACAAATAATATTTGATAAAAACTAATAATATGATATATGATAAACGGATATGATTTATAAATCCCTAAAATTCTTACCAGGATCCGGAGAGGATGTTGGAGAAATAAATAGGATACTCTCTCCGGTTTTAGCGATTTGGGTGAGACGAAAGGACTGGTCAAAAGACTCGTTGTGGACCCAGACTGAGCTTTAGGCCAGCCGGTGCAGGCCCAGTACGGTACACCCTATTGTTCTGCCGAATTCACCTTGGATTTTTTTTCCCAAATTCTTTTTATTTATAATTCTCCTAGGAGTTTTTAATAATTTCTAAAAAAGATTATTACAAATTATTGAATAAGCAATGATAAAATTCGGAACCGGATCCCCTCTAGATTCTTTGAAATTGAGCCTCCTGACAAAAGGATCCAGATCGTTGAAATTTAATCCAACGACTACAAATAGGGATCTTTTTAAAAGTTATAATAATTGTAGCCGTTGAATCAAATTTCAATGGTCCGAATCCCTTAATCAGAAAGTTCAGTTTATAAGGATCCGGATGAGATCCTGTTCCATAAAATTCATCTAAATTATAGAGATGGAACAGCTGAAACTGACAGAGTGGGTTAAATAGTAGAGCTCGATCAACCAAGGCATTTCACCACTAACTAACATCACAACCATTGGCCTTAAATTGTCATGACAGTTGGAATTGAAAGGTTCGATGGTATTTGGATTGTTTTTTTAATACAAGTGAGCACTATATATTTGCGTGAGGTTGTAAGTAAATGTAATATGATAGCATTATTGTTACAGTAACGTTTTATAATCAAAACTTAAAACGTGCAAGACAATGTTGAACCTTTTGTTGTTCCTTCAAATTTTTATAATTGGCGTGTTCATAATGATGTATTGCATTCTCTATTATCAAATATTGTACCCTAGAAATAGATGAAAAAAATAGACTGATAAACTCCAGAATAATCGAGTTCTTCCATCACATTTTTTAGTAGTAGTAAAGGAACTTGTAAGTATTGTAACCAAATTCTGTAATTTATATTCATTACTAGGATGGTCACAACACACAATAATTAATTAGATCAAGTTGGGCACACTGGATTTTTACATCCATTTATTTTTATAGTTAAGAAAACAAATCCATTTTAATTGCAATATGAATAGACAAGATAATAATAATTTAGCATATGTTTACTCGGTATGGGGATAAGAATGAACGGGTATAAGATAAACCATTTTCTCTGATTCTCTCGTACCTTAGTTTTTCAGATATAGAGATATACCTACTTTTTACTCTTTATTTTTTAATAAACATATGAATAAAAATAGAGTGGTGATAAACTCATCCCATTGTCTTATTTTCCCATCCATCTTTTAATAAAAAATTTAATACGAAATTTACTCTCTTGTAAAACGATATCTAAGACCAAAGAAAAGAAAAACCCCTACCCTCTAGGTTGTCAGGTTCGTTCTTCCCCATCTTCTAGAACAACCCACCTTTTTAAATCTTCAAAAAATCCAAGTCCCCTATACCTTTGGCCATTTTAATTTGAGCTGTTTGTTTTTGTTGTCAATACCAGCAAACAACCTTGAAAACTAGGATAAAGGCTTGTCTGTCCACAATCCACAATACACATACTAATTGTTGTGGGAGGCGCAGATGAAGTGGAACATGGTGTTCTCGGGGTGGGTGGGGTGCTGGAGGATGGAGAAGACGCGGGGAATTGTGTAAAATGTATTGTAAAGATGCGATCCTTATTGTGCATCTTGATCAATTGAATTGTGTCTTTGTAGATTTTGTTTTACTCAATAAAAATAAAAAGAAAAATAATTTCAATATAAAGGTTATTTTAGGAATAATAGTTGGTGGGAAGATAACATTTCAAGTTTTTAACTTTTTGTGGCGGGTGAGAATCTTATAATATGGGTGGAGAAATAAGACACTGAGGTAAGTTTAATAGCACTCTAAAAATAATACTCGCAAATCTATTCCTTATAAGCAAACACGCCTTAGTATTTTTTTATACATTAAAAAGAATCAAAGGGTTAGGTTTTATCTGCAGTAGTATTTTGAATAAATAGGTGGGGGAATATGCATACAACCTTAGAAAGAAAGAAAAAATTGGTGGAATCCGTCCCCATTTGTCCCAAAACGAGTTTAGGTGAGCTTCTGGATTTAATTCTAAGATGACCAGTTTTTGGGTTTTCTGCAGATTCCGTTATTTCTAACGAAATATGCGTATAAGACAATTATTTAAGGATGATGTTATTTGAACGCACAAAATTAACACTTAACCAAAAAAAAAAAAAAAAAAAAAAAAATGCATAAAATTAACACACTTATTAGCATATTGTTTAATGCATGTGGGGTTTTACATAGAACAGTAACGCTCACGTATGTTGAAAAGTATGTCACCAAGTGCATATGTCCAGATAACTTTATTGATTGCATAATCGCCAAATTGCCACCAATTGGATAATTCATCAAAATTTCACTTAAAGAAAACACATACACAAAATGTTAAAACATGATTATTTTTAATTTATAAACGAAGTTTCAAATTAATTTGGTTTAAATCCCCATGATATATGCTTAGTTCTCATGGAAGCAGCATGAAAAACATGTTTATTGGCTTTTAGTTTACGTAGGCCGCCTGCATGAGTGACGAAAAAGCCAAACTTTCCAAGTCTTACGAAGGATCTTATTTTTCATCGTGTTCTCGGACTAAATCTCCATAAAAAAATTGGGTACGAGTAGGACCTTACTTTATTCAATCCAAACAACTCCTTACCATACAATGTGTACATGCCTATCTTTTTTTTTCTCGTGAATTAAACGTGGAAGTTCGGCACATAAACCATTTTGTAAGTTTCAAATTTTCATGCAAGTGTAACGTCATGCACTATTCTAAAAATTCTCGTCTAACACTGCTTAGGCGTTAGGCGGCTGCCTAACGTCCTGATTAATCAGTAAACGTTTGAAAATTAAGAAATGACGTCTAGACTTGCTTAGGCATCTGCTTAAACCTGCCTAAGCACAGTGACTGAGCCAGAATTTTAAGTGAGGAGGGGCCTTTCACACACATGTATGTATAAATAAATATATATATACACACACATATATATATATATATATATATGCGACATATGTACAAACCCAAACAACCAAGTAAGAGGTAGACTGGAAGGCTAAAGAAAATACAAAGAAGTAGAAAAAGAAGGATAGGGGGAAGAGGTCTGCAAATAAAGAAGGTGGGTTGCTTTAGAAAATTATAGGGTGTATATTACTCTTAGCTGAGAGAATTGAACTAGTAGTCCTAGCTGAGAGAATTGAACCAGTAGTGGGGTTGCTTTTTCCATTTAAAATTGCATGTCTCTTTTAAAACTCCCCTGCCTAACTCATCGTTTCATTAAACAGTCAACCAAATTTAAAACCAAAACAGCCTAATGACGTCGTTTGCTTCGTCTTCTTCCTTGAGGTTCACACCTCTGCAAATAAAAACTTGGCGCCGTTGGTTGATTTCATACACCTTTCACATAAGTCAAGATGAGCCTAGGACCCTAGTCCCTTGGTGGCTCCGTCTCTGCCTAGGCATCCGTCTAGGTCGTAATTTTCATTAAAACAGAAGATCGATAACTTTAATTTTTCATTTTATTTTTAATAAAATGTAAGAGATTTGTTGAATACTTAGACGAACACTCATTATATGCTTGAATCACATGTTTTCAATATTGTTTTAATACTCTATGATCTATATATCATTTTATTTTGCAATTTATGTATCCCAATATAGTTATCTATTTTTTTTTATAATATGAATATGTACTTATTTATACGAAATATAATAAATTGACTTTAAATCTCCTAGTCTTCCTAGACCCCATCTAGCCGCCTACATGCTAGTTCCCATTCTACCGCCTGACTAACGCTTCGCTTAGTATCTTTTTAAGTTAATTGATGGTAAGTGTGATATACGACAAAGTTTGTAAACCAGTTGAGTCGTAATAGTACCTTGTGATGTTGTCAACTTATTTATGTTATAATACGTATTTAATCTATTAACATTCTACTCTACGAAAAATTATTCACACGTACGCTCATACTATAAGACGTGATGGTTTTATGATTACATGCACAAAAAAGATTCATCACAGTTAAAACCCTAATATATATGATGTCTCTATCTGCCCCCATCAATTCATTACACATTTCATACTCTTAGGCATGGTGGTGCAACTTGAGAGTTGTGAAAGTTTCACAACCTTTTATCAGAAATATATACGTGTGTAATCTTTTCTCTTGTTGGATTAAACGTGGAAGTTGTCACGTACATAAACCACTGTATAAGTTTCAAATTTTCATGCAAGTATTATTGTTGGGGATTATGATGTAGGAGGCATTTTTTTTCAAAAAAAAAAAAAAATTGTTATACTATTATGTAGTGTTACCAATTTAGTTGTACATGTTACACACGTACTTTTTTAACATTCTATTATAAGAAATAAACTAAATATGTCACTCATGCAGATAATATTATCTAGGGGTGCAAGTTAAAATAGTGTTTTTTATTTTGACAAATTAGAATGAAAATTGGTATGCATTTTAGAGATTTCAAGAACTCCGAATTTTCGACATGAAGTTTTCCTAAATTTTTTTTATTAAAATTATGTATTTTTGTAATCATCTTTTGTATTTTATTGTTAGTCGTGGATACATTTTGGTCATTGTCC